ACAGATTCAGAAACTCTATGTAAATTTCAGGGCCATCAAAAACCAAGAGAAGGGGACATCTTTTAGCAGAAAGAAGCCATTAAGGAATTCTATTCAAAACTTGAAGAACTGAGTGCAAGGCCAGCCTTAGTCACAAATGTGAATCAGATGATAATTGTCTTCAGCGTTCCCAGCCTCCTCCTTCTCAACCATTCAGTTCCTTCCTTTGTGTAACTCCATCCGAATCAGGAGGAAATAAAAAGCAAGTATAACTGTAAATTTAAGTTTAATAACCTTTGCGTTTTAAACTTATTTCTAATTATGAGATGACAGGCTTCTTTATTTGTTACCAAGAAATTTCAGACATCATTGAGGGGGATTAGAAATAAGGGTAGAGGATTTAAAAAGTCTTTTCAGGGAGCCTAAAAATCACAGCTTGTAACCTACCAGCTCTTCTGACTTTAAGTCTGATTCGGTAGGTAAGTCTATTTAAAGACTAAAGAAAAAATTTTTTTAAACAACTTTATTGTGGTATAATTTCTGTACAGCAAATTACACATATTTCAGATGTACATCTGATGGATTTTGAAAGATGTACACACATACGAAACCACCACAATCAAGACACCTAACATTTCCATCACTCCCCAAGAGGTGCAAATTTCAAACTCACAATTTATCCCTTCGCACCCTGTTTAGCCCCTAGTAACCATAAGTTTGTTCTCTGTCTGTGAGCCTGTTTCTGTTTTGTAAATAAGTGTCATTTGTGTCGGTTTTTTTAGATTCCATATATAAGTGCTATCATATGGGATTTTTCTTTCTAAGGATTTTTCTATTTCATGTTGAGAAGTTAAAGAGAAGTGTCTTGTCTATTCCTGTTTCTGTGTGATGTCAAACTCATTCGCATTGGAAAGTTTCTCTGTGAACGTTTGCACTTTGAAATACCATATACATATTTTTAACTGACAGATAACTGGCTTATTATATTAATTTCAGGTATGCAACATCTAAGTTCCCTAACCTGCAAGGCAGGCACAACCTCTGAATATCTCTCCAGTGTGGCCTGTCTTTCCAGCGTAATCTCAGGCCACCTCCCCTTTGCTTAACAAGCCTCAGCCCCTGATTTCTATTCCTTGCGCTCACCAAGCTCTTTCCTGCCTTAGGTTTTGACTCATGCTGTTCTGTCTTCCTGGAAAGCTCTTCCCCAACATTTTGTGCATCCAATTCCTTCATGTTCCTTAGAAACTAAGACAAAATCACTTTTTAAGAGATACATTCATTGATCATCATGCGATTTCTTTTTCTTCTTCAGTCTTATCCTTGTTTTTCTTCAAGAACTTTTACAAACAAACACACATATGCTGCTTATAGGTGTCAAGTACTATTCTGTTCACAACAACCTCATAAGTAGATTAAATTACTGTCCCCTCTTTAAGGATGAGGTAACTGAGGCACCCACACAAGTAAGTGGCAAATTTGGATTTGACCCGAGCAGATCAGCTTGCGCTCTTAACCACTCTGCTGTATCCTGCCTGCCAGTGTTACAACTTGGAATTATTATCTCAATCTGTCTTTTTTTGTAGCTGCTCTTTGTTTTTCATTTCTGTTACTGTTTGCTTGCCTTTGTCTGTCCCTTGCCAACATGAGCTCCATGAATCAGGGACCACTAAGCCCTGACATGTTATTGGCCATTGATTTCACAGTGCCTGCTGTGTACCTGGGACATAATGGGTACTTAATAAACATCGCCTTCATGAATGAATGAATGAGTGAGAGCAAGAGGAAGCAATATTCATGCTGATAAAGCTGGTGGAAAGTTGGTTTGAGGTACTAGGCCGCAAAAATACAATTTTTCCTAAATATTTGTAGGTAAGGAAGTTCCCTAAGTGATTGGAGGCTGCTAGGATAAAGAAATATGAGGGAACCCTGCTTCTAGGAACGATTTAAGAAATGATTTTCTAGATACGTGTCATTGATATGTATACACATACATGTATGTACATATATATGGTATGTCTGACATAGGTATGAAGAAAGAGAGAAGTGTAATTGTGTAGAAGTGGAAGACTATGATATATACGGAAATAAATTTGCTTTCTTCAAGTTAAATGCCAACATAGAAAGGGCCAAAGTTGTAATAAGCAAAATCTTAAAGTATTGAAATAGTGTACATGTCCGAATGAAACCAGACTGAATATATTAATAAAAGTATTAATCAGAAAAATGAGGTGGGGGAGAGCCTGGGGAATGGGTGGCAATGGAAGCTTAGAAGAAGGAAAAGGAGACATACAGAATCTGCTCCAGGCAATATGATCCCCTTGAAGGGCTATGCTTGCACTCCGTGGAGCGAGGGCAGGCCAGGGGCATACTGGGAAAAAGGCAGCTTCGCTAACTGCAACGCCAGGTTTCCTCTCCTTCTCTTCAGGAGTTCAGCACCGTTCATCACTGTGATGGGAGACTGGACACTACGGGAGCCCCTGGGCAGCGGGTGGGGTGCTTGTCAGCTGCAGTGAGATCAAGGCTGCGCAGGTGGAATGGAATTCATGGTGGTCCAAAGTTTCAAGTCTTTTCTTTCTTTCTCCCTTCCCTTTGCCTCTCTCTCTCTCTGTCCTTTCTTGATCAGATAACCACAAGAGAATACTGTAATTGTGAGCATGTGGAAGGAATCTTTTTTTGTCTGTTTTTGGAGACAGTGAAAATCACATCCAGAGAACCTATTAGTCAGGGTTTTGTAAGAACAGTGCCATTTGCTCTTTCTCCCACACCCTCAGTTCCTTTTTTTCCTTTGCCTGTCCACAATGATGGGAGAGTCCTGCTTTCTAACTCAGAAAGCTTGCGTGTGTGTGTGTGTGTGTGTGTGTGTGTGTGTGTGTGTTTGAACACTTCTTGGCCACTGAGAAACAGCTCTGTAATAAGTGCCACCAGGAGTCAGGGAAGGACCTGGTCAGGCCCTTGGTCCACTGATCCCACAGCCTCCTGGTGACACAGAAATAGCCTTTTCTGCTATTGCTTCCTTTCCTTTTCGTTCTTCTCTGTTCTCATCTCATCTCCATTCTTTATTCTCTTTCTCTCTGACTTTGCCTTCATCTCCTCTTGTGATTCTTCATCATCACTCTTCATGCTGATTAAAGTGGTCTTCTTATGAGCACCTAATACGTAGTTGCTGATTTTGTATTAGTAACGCATGAAGGCGAAGCTAACATAATGATCCAGGTTAGCGCTCCGGAGTTATGGCTACATTTTGGCTTTACAAGTTAAGAGATGCCTGACTTTGGGAAAATCACTCAACTTCCCTGTGCCTTTCTTTTACTATCTGTAAACTGGAGATAATGGTTCCCACCTCAAAGGGTTGCTGTTAGGATGGGAGAGATTGCGTATACCAAACTTAGAAGAATGCTTGGCACATGGTCTCATGAACTATTAGCTCTTATTATTTGAAAAAATGTCTATTGTGGGGTACCTATATTGATTTCATATATAGGGAATTTCATGCAGTTTTCCTTTATTGAAGAATCCGTAGACTAGAACTACTGGGGCAAGAAATAATAGTACCTAGTGGTTTACTGGGTGCATGCATTATAGAGCTCTCTTTCTGAGTAGTGATCTTGTGATAAGCGAGCCACAGAAAGCTTGGGTGAGGGCAACCAATCTTTAGCAAAGACTGTCCTGAGTGGGTAATACGGTTAGCTGCTGAGAGCGGGAAGTGAATCAGGCCAAGCTAGGGAAGGGCAGGGAGGGAACGCGAGAGGAGGCAGGAAGGAGGGGCGGAAGCGGGAGCCTAGGCGTGCGTCTGGAAGGCTCCCGAGCATAGTGTCTGGATGCAGGAGGCCGAGGAAGGATGCTGCGATCCCAGCGGGCGAGAAGAAGGATGCCCGGGCCCCGAGCGCGTTAGTGGCTGTTCGCTGCTGTTCGCTG